CTTTAGAACACTATTTTATTACAACATGAATATTTCGACCTGACCTCAGGTCCTCTTCAGCATGACTGATTAACATTATGACAAAGTTGGAACAATACAATACAATAATACGGTATCTAATAGGCGATTGGTCAGACTTAATCATGATGATTTAATTATAATAACAAAAGGTATCATCGGGCCTACAAACAAGTTGATATAAACAAAAGTGAAATAATTATGGTGAATAAACAGCAGGTGGCTGTAAGGCAACTAAGGATTAAGGAAATAAATTAATGAGTAAAATGACAATAATAAAAGGCAAGAAAATATATATCTCTGTAATGATGAAAGATTCATTATAGATCACAATGAACATAATTAAAGAATAAGTGTATACATTATAATATAATGTAATGATATAGAGGACATGATAATAATTACAATAGTAACGCTAGTAATGATAATATAATATGTAATAGTAAAACTAGTAGCAATATATGGATGAGTCTTAAATGAACAAAAATAAATATCGGTATATACAAGTTGCTACATTTTTACCCCAGCACTCGTTTTCACATGAACACATTAATGACATAATCTCCATAACTAACTTTATCCTGACGCACAATAATTTCACTTTCAATAATAAACACTACCTCCAAATTAAGGGCACTGCAATGGGAACCAAAATGGCTCCGAATTATGCCAATATTTTTATGTCCATTCTTGAATCCAAACTCATTGCTTCATTCCCTCGTAAACCTCTGTTCTACCGACGTTACATTGACGACATGTTCATAATTTGGCCACACGGAGAATTCAACCTTAAGACATTTATGGATCATGTGAACAACTTTCACCCTCATATTAAGTTCACATCTGAATATTCTCACACATCCATACCTTTCCTGGATGTAGCAGTTACCATCAATAACAATCGTATCTCCACATCTTTGCACTCTAAATCCACAGACAGTCACGCATACTTAAACTTTCACAGCTCACATCCATTAGGTCTGAAAAAGTCTATAATATTCAGCCAATGCCTCCGTATCAAACGGATATGCTCAGACATTAATGATTACAATTTCCATGTTAACAACCTAGCGGGATTTTTTCTCAGTCGTGGCTATCCTCTTAACCTCATTAAATCCCAAATTACTAAGGCAGCAAGACGTTCACGGCAAGACCTCTTATCTCCTAAAATCCGCCCCACATGCAATCGCATTCCCCTCATCCTTGATTTTCACCCCTCCATCACGTCCTTATCTAGAACTATTAGAAATGACTTCACCCCACTTCAACGCAATGAATCCACCCGACTCCTATTTGACCAACCGCCGTTACTCGCAAGCCGTCAACCCCCTAACCTCAAAATGATCCTCACATCCTCATGCTTGTCACCACCTAAAAGAGGCAACTCTAAATGCAACAAACCACGATGCATGATCTGCAAACTACTCATCACTGACACACAAATTAAACTACCCCACTCTTCTCATACCATTCATCCTCCTGCCCTGACTTGCGATTCTTCTAATGTCATATACCTCCTCACTTGTTTCAAATGTAACAAAGGGACCTACATCGGGGAAACTGGCGCTAAATTTAGATTAAGATTTAACAATCACAAACAAAGCATCCGCAAAGGTAACACAGACGGCTTTCATGTGGCCGAACATTTCAACTCTCCTGACCACAACATCAACGACATTCGCTGTGCACTCATTGCTTGCAATTTCAAATCACTCAAAGAACGACGTCAATCTGAACTGAAACTCATAATGAAATATAAAACACACATTTTTGGTCTTAATAAAGACCTGGGTATCATTAGTGACAACACCTTCCCCCATGCTGATTCTGCTAATTAATTATGCTTCATCTTAGTATCCGACTCTATACCTTTATTTACTTATATTTATTCACACATATATCTCATGTTTATATACATATAGTTCATTTCTATATATATTTTTTTTTATATATTTTCATTTGATAATTATATCTATGCTTTTTGTACCCTGTTATCATAATACATTTTTCATATTTCATATTTTATAGACTGGATTATGTTCACTCAACTTGTATATACCGATATTTATTTTTGTTCATTTAAGACTCATCCATATATTGCTACTAGTTTTACTATTACATATTATATTATCATTACTATCGTTACTATTGTAATTATTATCATTATATTATAATGTATACACTTATTCTTTAATTATGTTCATTGTGATCTATAATGAATCTTTCATCATTACAGAGATATATATTTTCTTGCTACATACATATATATACACATATATATATACATATATATACACACATATATATATACATATATATACACATATATACATATATATACATATACACATATATGTATATATAAATAGACGAGATCAGCATATATATATATGTAATGTACGTAGTTCGATTCATACGCTTTATACCGTGATCAAAGCGCTGTGGACTAGCTGGCTATATCAGCAATTGACGACTTTTTCTAGGTAAATAATGATATGATAGAGAAAGTCTAACTCGTCTTGCCGGAAATATATAAAAATACATTTTTCAAAGTGAATGATGATTAAAATAAATACAGTATAACGTTTATTGCAACTGTGTAAAGATATACAGTACTTACCAAATATATCAGTGTCAGTCATTGTCAAAATTTGTCTAAGATGTACTAGTACCTGAAATATTACAGAAAAAGAATTTATACGCCTACATTTTATAACACCCACACATACATGTGAATGGCCTTAAACTGATGACACTGAAAAAAACCCCAATTAAAACATTAATTATATAAATTAATAATTTATATAATTATATAATTAATTATAAAAATCACAATTATTGTCAGTGACTAAAAGAACACCCCTCAGTTTCATACTATTAAAATTAATATGTTAAATAACAATCATTAATTGACTAAATATTTTTTATTAAACTACTGTAAAATGAATAATAAAATCATTAATAGCTGGCTGTAAATCGCGCTTGCTGCATACACCAATAAGGATGTTATGCATTAAAGTAAAAAAAAAAATTATCAGTATTTCTACTTACAGTTAAGGTTTCAACGGAAATATTCAGTCAGAACTTTATTGACTGAAAATAATTCCAAGTACATTGTCAACGTTTATATAGTAGTATATTTAACTGTCGATAAGCTCCCGCGTATGGACATTGCATGATGGGGTGCACGGAAATATCATGATGGGTTGTATGAAAATGTTATGAGTCGAATAATAGCCGATATAGTGTTTTCATGCCAATAAATATCTGGATTACGTGATATGTTTACATCTTAAAGCAAATGATGCGTGTCATCTATCGGCTCTTCTTGAATAGGATACAATGTGTTTTTCCACTGTTAGTGTAGTACCAAATAGCATCTGTAGAAGTAAATAAAATATGAGTAAAAGAAGAAATACCAATGTTGGTAGGCCTACATGTCACAATTGATTACCGCCGAAATATTTTCGGAATGCGAAAGTTAACAAAAGAAGTAATAACAGTGGGATTAATTTTACATTTAACAAAAGAACACTTTCAAATACTGAACTGATCTTTGTCGTCAATAGACTGTACTCTGTTCCTGTTGTCTATAAAATGGCGTTTAAATTTTGGTATAAGTATGATAGAACTACTCGTTCTAAGATATTTTGTTTGATTAGCGGAATCGTGAATTTCATTGCTATTGGATTAACCTATATCATCATAGGAATTATTACTAAACCAGTTGCTTACGAGATGAATTGTAGCGAGGGGTTCGTGTCTTTCTGGGGAGCAATCCAACTGGCAGTATTGGCAGGAATTGGTAAGTACTTTAAACCAAAAGCAAGTAATATAAATTGTACTATATTTTTTGTGGTTGATGAGGAATCATAATAAATGGAAGTTATTCCCATATGTACTAAAATAAAAACATATTTTTAGTTGCTTTGTGACCTTAAGGTCACAAGGAACTAATGGGATAATTGGAACTTGAAATATATATGTGTGTGTGTGTGTGTGTGAGCAAAGTGAGCAGCGGGTTTGTAAACGAATAGGCTCATAAACGGTGCCTCACGGTGGGTATAATGTTTTCCTCATAGTAACTGGTGGACATGTAGTTGTGCAAGAATTGTTTGTTTTTAATGTTAGATGAGAAATGTAGGACGTACGCGATAAAATATATACCCCCTACCACCATTTTTGAGTCGTTTTTAGGAGAAAATTTCGATATGCGCATGCGTCGGAAAAACTTTGCCGACATTTTGTTTTTCATCGCGAGAGGGTAAGCAAGCTCCATAATGCATACATTGTTGGTGTAGTTGACCAATTGTTTACGGAATCGTCGGTAGGGTTAGGCCTCTGTCGGTTTAATGTAGCAGGTGCACGTATTATTAGAAATGAAAAAAAGTGATCTAACCAAACACGGTCTTTACATAATGGTATTGGATCGAACGTGTTTAATATTTTGTGGAAATTTTGTTTTTTATCGCGAGAGGATACAGTTTACACTAGAGAAGTTGTCTGTGTTGTTTATGCGAACGT